AGGGGGGGAGGCAGCAGACAGCGGGGCCGTGCCCGGGGGCTGCAGCCCGGATCCGGGCCACGCGTGGGCTGCGTGCGGAGCGGGACCGGGGCATCAGCCTCCCGCCACCACCCCGCGCCACCCCGCAGCACATGGGATGGGGTGAGGGGGACCTCCCGGAGGGCATCGCGTGGGAAAAGCCCTTTTCTCCCACCTGGGCGCCCTGGGCAGCTCGTCCCCGGTTTGCAGCCACCTCCAGCCTGTAAATCATTTGCTTTTACGATCCCTCCTCTGGCCCATTATCACACGAACTTTATATGTTTGGGGCTGCTGGTGGCCATAAAGCTCAGCCGGTTTCCGGGGCCGGCATGCCCGCCTCGAAGGCAGGGTGTGAGGAGGAGGAGGAGGAGGAGGTTGGGGACACACCGCCCTGGTTCCCCCCAGACGGGCAGGTAGGCAGGGAGGGGGGCAGCGCTGCCTCGGGGATGGTGGGAGCAGTGGGGGCCGGGATACGGACTGGTTGCAGCCCCGGGATCAGGCTGGAGAAGGGAGCGAGTGGGGGGCTCCCCTGGGGTGGTGGTGGGCAGGAGTAGGGGGGTCCCAGCTCCGGTCATTAAGTACTTCTTCCCCCCATCCCGTTGGACTGGAGGACTCACAGATCCTCCGGCTTACGTCCCCTTGGGTCCCACTGGGACCTTTGCCTGCCCCCAGCCAGCAAGTCTGGGTCCACATCCAACCCCTGTGCCTGGGGAATGGAGGTCCAGGAGTGTCCGAGCCCCGGTCCAGTGCTGGGGGTCCTGCCAGGACCTGTCTTGCCCGGGATGCTGTGTCCAAGCTCTGGACCCACATCCTAAGTGACTGGGTTGCGACCCACTGCATGGCCCCATTGCCAGCTCCTCTCTCCGCCGGCTGTCCTCGGGGCTCTGTTCCTCCTGACAGTGTCCCCTCACCATCTCCTCCTGCCTGAGTATGGCTCACGGGTCCCCTCCTGTCCCCCGAGCTCCAGGTCTTGCAGAGGGGATGGGGTGCAGCCGTACTGGGGCTGCCTTTTGGCTGCTCTTAACCTCCCGGTTCCACTGCCTCCCTGGCGGTGGGACCCTCCGCCGCCTCGGGCTCTGCCTTTGGAGAGACCTCTGCCTTGGTCACCCCTTGGACTCTCGCTGGCTGAGTCCTGGTGCCTGAGAACTGCCCGTTCCCAGCGCACAGGTTGGAGGGGACGGACGCTCAGGCGCCAACAGCTCCTCCCCGGGTGTAAATCAGCATCGTTCCCCAGCACGATCCCACCCCGAGATGGGATGCGAGCCGTGAGGGATGCGGGAACCCGCCGAGGCTGCTCCCCGCTCCCCTCTGCGTGGTCCCAGCTGCGGGCTGAGATGTGTCACATCTCTTCAGGGGGTCCGGGGGGCTCCAGCTCAGCCACCCGTGCTTTGGTAAGACCTTCCCAGGTGAGGAGCTCCGTGGCGGCAGGTCACAGCTCAGCAGAGGGTGTTTTGCCTCTGCGGCCCGTTCCCATCCTGGCAGCGTGCTCGCGAAACCTTCCCGGGGTCAGCCGTGCCCTCCTCGTTCACCTTGATAGGTCTGTTAAACAAATTGGGGTCCGAATCAATCGCGGGTGTCCCAGAGAGAGCGACGCATTCACCGCCCGCGTCTCCCTGGCCGGGGTGAGCATCTTCCTTGAGATCGCGTGGAGGGGGGGGAAAAAGGGGGGGGCTCCATGCGCCGGAAAAACCCAAATCTAAGCAGATCTAGTTGCCTTTTCTTCCCGGGGAGGGGGATGGGAGAGGCCAGATCTTGCTTGAACAGTCAAAGCGAGTCGCCTTTGCTTTTCCCTGCTCTTCAAGGTCAGGCGAGCTAATGAAAATCAATCTTCCCTCTGCCTCTCTCTGCTGCATGAGCAGATTCTACCTGTGGCCCCTCCCCTATTTGAAAGCCGCCGCTGCCGCCGGCTGCTTCGCCTGCTGACCATGTGCAAGGCCGGTGGGGCGCTTCCTATCGAAACAGAGTCTTCCCGCGGACCCGGGCACGGTGACAATATCTGTGTCACCAAGGGATTGCTCATCTGAGCTGCCAGAGGAGAACGGTTTTGTCCCGGGGAAGCTGGCTGGGCGGGGAAAGCACGTATCCGACGCTGAAATCTGGGCTGGAAGCGCTGGGGGGAGAGCTCTTCGTTTGGGGTCTGGCATGCGATGAGTGGCGTCCGTCCTCAGCGCGCTCCCGGGCAGCTCCGGCTTGCTGCAGGCAAGCAGAAATGGGAAGTTTCTCCCTCCTTCCCTCCTAAAAGCCAAGACCTGGCTCCGCTGCCGCCCCGCTCCTGCCTAACCCCTCTCCCTTCCCAGCCCCG